GTTGGACAGAAACAAGACTGAAAGCAGAGTTAAAAATTATTTAACTTTTCCGTTTTCGTTCCGCGCTTCTGTCGTACTGCAACCAATAAAAACGCAAGGATTTGTGACGCGTAGTCACGTGCATTAGTCACGTGTAGTTTGATTGTCGTAATGGCAGAAAGTGTAGCGAAAACGACGAGGAAATAAATAGATTTGGAATTCTTCATCGAACAAGTTAGATAATACAGATGTCTGTACGACAAAAAATGTAAATCATTCAAAGATTATTTACATTTTTTGCAGAGAAATCGTGGCAAAATCCGTAGCGTCGTCCATGTTTGACTCTACGACAATTACAGAACTGATCAACAGATGGCGCATTTCTAGTGGTGTCGAGTTAAAACGAAAACATAACTAAATCGAAAACTCTATATGTTTCAGTTTGTTTCTGAGTTTCTGTTTTCAGGTAATGTGGAGTCCAGGCTTAAGTGACTCGTACGACATGGAAATCATATAAAACGGAATAATCAACAGTGTTATAGTGGGATCGACTGTACTTTAGATCTCACATTTTTTTCGATTTTTTCATTTAATTAACGCAAAATTATCAATCTGAAGAAACCTCTTAAATAGGTCGAAATGCATTACTGGAAATTTTGCGTTGATTGAATAAAAAATCGAAAAGCCGATGAGGATAGTAGTTATTGATGGCAAATTAATTTACAATGCGTAATTTATTCATACCTGTGGATGACGTAATACATTCACTGACGTGCGATACTAATATGCAATTTTTTGCAAAACATGAATAACATTTCTTAACCGTTACTTAAGTTATCGTAACTGTTACTGCTAGCATTAGCAAAACCAACGTATTTGTTTTTAGATGTGTATTACTACAACATACCATCGTATATTGTAAATAAATTATATAAAGTGGACTCTCAGTCATCAGTCCCTCCCATATTCGAACTGATCAAAGTCAACAAAAAATTTCGAAAATATTATACACAACTCCGAATCTTATTTTTCCATACTTCATCGTGTACATTTTTAGAGTAGTTTTCTTTAAGGTTGCTCTAAAGTTCGAATAAGTACACTATGCTAACTAGATAATAATGACGAATTAACATTATGTAGCAGCACAAAGAATCGAGAAGAAAATAAACAAACTTCATCACAATATTTTTATAATAGGCATGTTAGTCTCATTTAAAAATTCACACACTAAGTTATCCGGATTTTTGTAATATTCGAATCACACATGTCGAATTATTTCGGATATGGAAAAGTTTAGTCTACTATGTTATAGCGTATTTCTATATTGTAAAAATAAACTTCATTATGAAAAAAGTATGATTTGTATATAAAAATTCACTATTTTAAAAATCTTGCAGACAAGCCTGTAACACAATAATATTTTTCTGTATGAACTACAAACTGAAATAAATTATACTTAAGCTCTCGTGATCGGTATTCAGAAATCAATATATATACTAAAGGTAAGTGTACAGTGTGCGTGCCGCTAAAACTCAAAAACGAGTCCCGGAACAATCAAGGGGGGGTTATATGTTGTGGTAGCCCTCTATCCCCCATCCATAAAGAAGGTTCCCGTTTTTACCTGAAGGGCGTACTGTTGAAGATATAAGGGCTGGAAGTTTCGCTATCTATAAATTTCTAGAACAGTCCAGAATATTCGAGAGTATTCAAGAGCAATCCACAACATTCCAGAATGTTCCAAGACGTTCTGGAACGTACGGGAACATCCTTTTAAATATTACCGGGAATTTTCCTTGAATATTAAAGTTGATATCGTCGACAATATTATTTTTAGTTGCCAAAATTGCCCTTTGAAATAACCACTACGAATAATACAAAGCACAGAGCTCAAACGTTGAAGAGTTGAAGGTTGAAATTTGGTACACAGTTAGGGTGCGTCATGACAACGTACACTAAGAAGGGATTTTTCGAAATTCTTCCCGCGGGGAGAGGTTATAAACAATGAAAATGTTAACAATGGAAGTGGTTAAGTAACAATTAAGGTGTTAAGAGAAAGCGACGTGCAAGATTTACAGGCACAGATGCGGTTTTTTGCGTTTTGCGAGAGATCAAGCATATTTTTAGACTCATCTAAAAAATTTCTAATTAGTCTGGAAACAGGGCAACCTAATTCTTGCATTCTGAGAAAACAGGTAAGATTGGCTATAATGTAATAATCTTAATCTTCGCTATTGTTACTTTATTCCCGGGCAACGCCGTGCTCATCAGCTATTTATAAATTAAAGTGAAACCTGCTGAAGTGGCTACCTGTGTAAGGTGACCACTTTGAGCTGGATTCTTCAGTTATCATATAAGCAGGTTTCGTCGTATACACTATTGCATTAATTTGCCATAAAATAATTAATTATGAGTTATCTATATTGTATAATGTGCGTTATAAAAAGAAAATCTTGTACTTACCTCATAAAGAAGAACGTTTCGATTAATGACATTCCTTGAGATGAAACTTCTACAGTAACATCTTCAGATATATTTCCAATATTATATATTTTTTCTAAAATATATATATATACAGAAATAAAGAATAAATAATCGTTTGAAATATTTTACACTATCTCGAAAGTTTATAAGTGTTTATTTTATTTAAAACCGTAAATTTACTTGATTTTTAACACATGTAGGATGGCAATTTGAAGATATAATATGTATAAAACATAATTCTGGTACCAAATGAAAATAGATCAACAGTTAAAATATTTTGAAGAAAGTACATTGCATTACATAAGAATAACAAATAAATTAGGTCTGTAAAAATCTTTTTATAGACAATCAATTTAAATGCATTGATCACGCAAATATAATTGAATTTAAGAGATAAATTAATAAATTTGATTATATTCATTCAACATTCTCTAAAAAATAGCCGAAAATTATCTAAGAAACTGTTCAATTGTTTTACATCACACAAAACTATAGTGATGACGCTTGGTGCAATCATCTTTTAATAAATAAATGATGTACTCCTATACCCTTTCACCCGTAGAACGCATATCAGTTGTCTGCATTGCCACCTACTCATGTCTGCATTACGTGATTCATAGGCACCCGTTATTTAAAAAAATGCTAATGATAATTTGTGCAACACGAATAATTAAAATTAAAAATTATTGAATGTAAAATTTTTTATGAAAACAATACTTTAAAATATTAACAAAGTAATTTGTAAAAGACAAAGTAAAGTCATGCTATAATGTGAATAAGACATGCCGTCATTATCAAACAATTATAAGTGCGAAAATAATCAGGGAAATGTTTAATATAAACTACGACTGCAGTAACGTTTACTCGTTAAATCTGGAAGCTAGAGAGAAGTATTGGCGGCACTGTCGATTTGCTACAATCTGATATTACATTTAAATGATTGACACAAATAGATTACGTGACATAGATGGAAATGTGATACTGATTAGTTATGCACGATGTTTTTCTGTGTGTTTCCTTTACAAATACATACAAATATAAAAGAAAAAAAATTGTTCATTAATACAAAATGAATTATTCCAAGGTATCCACGAATTCCATAATTTATTCTCACTTACCTGTTATCGTATATACCAATCCCGAATGTATCAGAATATGAATAAATACAACTGGACAGATAAGTAAACATTTGATTCCACAAAAGAACTTTGTCTTCTTATTGAAGTCGGTACTAAAGAGATTTTGGGTCGATGTATATATCGAAGTTGCAACAAAACTGTCTAGAAAGTCTCCTACAAATAAATAAAAGCACAAACATTTTATGAAACGAATAATAATACTTAGAATTTTAAATGAATTTATGATCATGATATTATTGATCTGAATTATTACGAATTTATTATTGCAAATAAAATATTTTTAATCATTTTTTTTTTTGTCTTTATTAAGCAAGGATGCTTACAAAATAACATGTAAATTTTCGACTTATAGAACAAACTAATGTACGTTTTGTTTCACGTTTTGTTTCACATTTTAACTTTTGTGCTTTTAAAAGTATTATTACGATGACCAAACTGTGCTTTACGAGCCTCATGAGGCACTTGAAGATCCTTATGGCAATTCTCATATGTAAAATTTCGGTTTAGAAACTTGGTTTATATTACTTACGTATTTATAATACCTTTGTGAGTTTGCTGACAATTATGTAGTGTAACAAAAACAGAAATTTTAAGTGTACCTCATAAGTTAATTTCGAACAGACTGTTAAAAGCTTAGAGCACATTCGTAAAATGGAAGTATTCGTAAAGTATCAGTAATGTAAGTAGAAATTAGTCATAAAGAACCAATAACGTAATTTAGAGTAAGAGTTTATTCATATGTTTTTAATGCTTCAAGTTCGAAGTATATGGAAAAAATCACACTAATAGGATATATTTTTTAAAATAGAAATACGAATAAATTCGTGTTGTATTTCAATGAAGAGAATTATTTACAGAAAAATTGTAAGTTATTAATCGTTATGAAAATGGTTTACTTCAACTGAAGAACGGTCTTGGGACCCGAAATTTACATTTTGAAGTTTTTCAAATTTAGTCATCTTCATGATTGTGGTATAAGTTTTCATTGATTACCAAGATTGTACCTATATTAGCGGAAGCAGTTGTTTTTTTAAAGTCAGTATGAAGCAGATCTTCTATTAATTTAATTCAATTAATCAATTTAATTTGACATTTCCAGTAACAGTAGATATCGTTTTTAAGCAACTTCCATTTTGATTAACGTTGTATTTTACGAATTTCAACGATACTTCATTATTATCTATTTAAGTTATGAAATTTGTACCATTCAAAGTTCAGAGAAATGTCATGAAATTAATTATTACAATCACATTTTTCAAGAGTATTAAATTAGACATTAGTTATATGTGTACNAAAACACGAACATTTTATAAAACTAATAATAATACTTAGAATTTTAAGATATTATTCATCTGAACTAATACGAATTTATTATTGCAAATAAAATATTTTTAATCTTTTTTTTTCTTTTTGTTTATTAAGCAAGGACTTTTTCGACTTTTAAAACAAACTAAATATAAGTATTGTTTCACATTTTAACTTTTGTGCTTTTAAAAGTATTATTACGGAGGCCAAACTGTGCTTTTCAAGCCGCCTGAGGCTCTTGAAGACCCTTATGGCAATTCTCATATGCATATTAAATTTCGTTTTAGAAACTTCGTTTACTTACGCATGTAAAATGGAAGTATTCGTAAAGTATCAGTAATGTAAGAAGAAATTAGTCGTAAAGAATCAGTAACGTAGAGTAAGAATTTATTCATATGTTTTTAATGGCCCAAGTTCGAAGTATATGGAAAAAATCACACCAATAGAAAATTTTTTTAAAAAATAGAGATACGAATAAATTCGTATTGTATTTGAATGAAGAGAATTATTTACAGAAAAATTGTAAGTTATTAATCGTTATGAATATGGTTTACTTCAACTGAAGAAGGATCTATGAAACCGAAATTTACATTTTAAAGTTTCAGTTTTTCAAATTTAGCCATCTTCATGACTGTGGTATAAGTTTTGATTACCAAGATTGGAGCCAAGATTGGAGCCATACTAGCGGAAACAATCGTTTTTTTAAGTCAGTGTGAAGCAGACCTTCTATTAATTTAATTAAATTAATTAATTTAATTTCACATTTCCAGTAATAGTAGATATCGTTTTTAAGCAACGTCCATTTTGATTAATGTTGTATTTTAAAAATTTCAACGATACTTCATTATTATCTATTTAAGTTATGAAATTTGTACCATTCAAAGTTCAGAGAAATGTCATGAAATTAATTATTACAATCACATTTTTCAAGAGTATTAAATTAGACATTAGTTATATGTGTACCTTTATTGCAAAAAGTCTTAATTATACGAAATTTAAGTAGAGTTTCGATTATTGTTCCAATAATAACCCATGTGACAAAGAGACTAATGGCAATTCTGAAAATACAAAATAAAATTTTCATTAGTAATATAAACAACTATTTCTATAATAGTCTAATTTATTTGATTAATAAGTACTGTCTTTCCTAAATTGAGTGTAAATTTTCAAAACTTTTTTCTTAATTTAAAATGAAAAACTTTCTTAAATTATAATGGAATGAAGTATCGCAGCAGCTCAAAGTTCAAAAGCAATGTGTCAACGACAGATGCCTCTTATAAAAACTTTCTATGAGAAATTAGTCTCCTGTTTTTAATTAAACACGTGAAGTAAATTTGAAAATTTCACGCGCCAACTCGTTGCTCGTGTATGAATCGATAATTAACTAGCACTGTTCGTAGTTATATTTACTCAGAGAAATCAAAAACTGTCTAGTAATTACGACATTCATAATAATCATGTACAGTACAGTACAATCGTCGATATAAAATATTTATTAAATTTCGAAAAATTGTGTAGTACAGTAGAGCATCGATTATCCGACCCCCGATTAACCACACACACACACACACATTATTACACACATATTATTACACACACATTTTATTAAGGTACATATAAAACATACATTTCCGGTACCGCATTGGCATAACCGGATTAACCGTCACATCGGTTAACCGACCGTTCTAGTCCTCAAATTTCAAATGTCCGCTAGTAATGTGGCACTACAATATTTGGCTATATCTTGGCTACTTCCATATTATTTTTGTTAAATTTTTGCGTGTTTTAGCTGGCAATACTGGCTCGACCATTGAAGGGAGGCCAGTATTTAAACGAGGCTTAATTTTCTAATTATGAATGGTTGTTTGTTTTGTGAGCAGTAAAATAATTTAAAAATAATTTTTAACGATACAATAGCGACGATTATTATTGTTTTAAAGAATTTGTTAGGCTTAACATCGATGAAAATTCAACGCGGAGTTGGTTAAATAGCGATATACTAATATACTATACTAATAATGTATTTTTTTCATTCTTTTCGGTTATCCGATTTTTCAGTTATCCGACCAACCTGAGTCCCCAACTGAGTCGGATAATCGATGCTCTACTGCAGGGGTCGCCAAACTTTTTTAACCGTCGACCCACAACCACTTTCCAAAGCCTCACATTGACCCCTACCGTAAAGTTTTATTACAAGCGTATGTGTATGAGCAAAAAAAAAAAAAAACGTTGTGGTCTTTGTATAAGCAAAAAAAAAAAAAAAAAAAAAGGTTGGGACCCCCTTAGCCCCCACCCCCCCCTAATCGACCTTCTAATCGACCCTCTAGCCGCATCGACCCCTGGGGGTCGATATCGACCACTTTGGCGACCCCTGCTCTACTGTATTCAACTACTGTAGTTCAGAAATATTTCTAATAATTATTAATGTTTTGAGCCACATAAAACCAATGAAAACGGTCTTGCCACGTACAGTTTTCTGTGTTCTTCACGTATCTAATGCACTGAATAGAGACCAATTTCCCAAAGAATGCCCTCGTAAATTATGAAATTTGTTAAAAACGAACACTAAAACTAATTTATTAAAAAATATATTAATTAAATTTCCAATTTATTTGACATTAAATAAAATTTACATAAAAGTAGGAAAGAAAAGAAAAAACTTATATAACAAAAATTCTAAAAATATTTTTAAAAATAGATAAATTTATGGCAATCCTGAAAATCTGATTTGTCAAGAAAAGAAAGTCACTATACATAATATTTTCAAAATTACAATATACAGTACAATATTTGAAATCGTCAATCACTATATCCACGCAGCATGACTTTTTATTGATATAACAGAATTGAAATTTACTCTGGCTATTTGTTTCATCACTCTCATACTGAACCTTACGTCTTAAATATCATTTTCTCCTAAAATCAGGGAAAACAAGGATAATAACAAACAGAATTAATTTGCAATCTCTTAATCCCTTAACCTAGTGTGAGAATCTGAAGGTTAACCTTCAATTGCAGGGGATTATACAATAAAAAGGGCAGAAACCCCAGTCTCAAGTCATTCACTCTTCTCAAAGAGCATGGACCCAAACACTTGTCCGTCAACCTCTCGTCTTGCAACTCCTATCCGTCTCTCTTCCGAAACCCATCTTCAGCGAGGACCTCTCCAATCCCGACGCTGACGCCGTCCCAACTATACGAGAAGATATCTTTCTACCAAGCAAGAGAAATACTTAATCTTCCCACTCGAATGTGAATTAAGATATAGTTATAATCGCGAGTTAAAACGCGAATTTTACTACCCTAAGGTTGTGCCTGGAGAAAATAGACGGTAGATATTCAAATATTACGTTAAAATGCGAACAAAAGCCATTCAGTGACAACGTGAGCGTGCCTAACCGTCCTGGCGCCGCAAAAGGATTCAGAGTAATAATCTGTATAACCAGCGACTTCTCACACTAGATATATTTCTTCACCATGACCAATATCCGTAATTCCGACTCGATTTTTAATTCTATTCAATCTGTTATTTCACACAAAATACCTTTTATTTTTGTGGAAACATGCTTAGTAGCATTTGTTGCAGTACAAGATTTCAAACGATTCTAGATGGTAACCTCGGTGAAATAGCACTTTTCTTAAAAATAGTGTCTTTTTCATTAACCTGAACTTTATTCTATATAGTCTTTTTCTTCAACAAACATATTTACACCTTAAACATTCTGACCTAGACTAATATGTTAATATCTTCGTCTTTCTATATAAAAGCACCAGCCACACGAAGATGATAGCCATGACAAAAATGTAATTTTTTAACTTCTTGTATAGCATTAATTACCTTGAAGTCCTGCGATATTGCAACATGTTTGGTCTACGAGGTTCTGAAATGTGTAGCAAAGTACATACAAGTGAATTCACCAAAACAAGACATTGTATCTGTTTTTCGAAATTTTATACCCGAGGAACTTTAAAATTTCGAAAACACAAACCTGAGTTTATTAAAATTTGACCAATAACAATATTTTCCCTGCTCAAAATCCCATTACTTTCCTTTCCCTTTAATCCATCATTAAATCAAAGAAAGTTTCCACATCCAGCAGCATTCGAATGCCATGCTAAATGCTATGTTATACGTTCATTTATATTTACATTAGATTTTTCTATTCATTTTATATTAATTTCTTATTGTTTTTACTATTAAACACAATATTTATTCTCTATAAAATTGTGTTTTTGTATTTATTTTGGAGCGTCTAAAACGAATTAATTGGATTTACATTGATTCATATGAAATTTTGCTTCGGTTTTCGTCGGTTTCGGATTTCGCCGATTGTTTTCGGACGGATTATCGACGAAAACCTAGGGATCACTGTAGCAGATAGTTTAGATGTTGCGTTGCCATATTCCATCTAGCCAATCGCATTCTTAAAAAGTAAAAACAGTTTGCAAACTCGTCTTCTATATGTTGAAATTATTTATTTATATATTTTACATATCATTGGAATTGTCGCAGGACAAAAGATTTTTACTCCCTATTAACATAATTTACCCGAAAATACGATAAAATTCAAACAAAAACAATAAAAATAAAAACAATGTATAAAATAATAAAAGAAAAAAACTATAGGCCTATATATAATATATAAATAAGATACAAAGAACTAGGTCATACATTAACGTAATACTTACTCTACAATTGCTATGTTAATAATAAATTAAATTATAAACATTCAAATGAAATCATAATATACTTAGTTAATTATTTATAGAATATTGATATACACATAACTCTAGCATAACGCTGTATTTATACAACGAGAGTTCAGTATAACAGTTCATATGAGCTCATCTCTTCATTTTATTTTATTGAATGTTACTTTAGTTTCAACAACAAAGTTTGCTAATGTAGAGTATGCCTTTTCCTTTTATATGGTCAAAGATTTTTATTTTCCTGGCAATCTCGTTAGAAAGTTGCTAACAACAAATAGTATATGTAATTTTATACACAGGAACCATATAAACATGTAATTTTATACCTTTGGCATTTTGTGCACCAGCAACCTTTACGTAACGTAGATAAGCCCTATGCTTTCTGCAAACATCAAGCACTCCCGTGCTAAATGTTTGCAGAAAGCATAGGGTTTATCTACGTTACAAGCTGCTTATAATTTAGATTTTTTTCTTCACATGCATTGTGTAAATATAATTTAATTAAGTAGCAAGTGAGGACAATTTTGTTAAAGTCTTAAGTGCATATCAATCGTGTGTGATCAAAATTGTAATATATAAATTTAATTTTTACAATCGAAAAAATTGCTTCATTGTACATTTTTCAGATAAAATATTTTTATAGTAATGACTAGAAAACAAAAGGTAGAAAATCACACACACAAAAGAATTTATTTATTTAGAAGGAAAAGTCAACATCTTGAATTAAGATGTTGACATCACAATTACTTTATTTTCAAGACTCGTTGCAAAAACCTTGAATTTAAACGAATAATCAATTTTTTTAATCAAAAAAAAATGAACAAAATAAAATACAAAGCTTTTGTAATAGGTCATGCGGTGTTTTATTATAGAAATTGGAAAAGTCTGTAATAATCCAGATAGAAGATTACAACCAGAAAAATTCCGTAGGACAGAAATAAAAGAATTATCTCTTAAAATCTATACACACTTGAAAGAACTTAGACAAGCATCGTCTAAAGAACACAGTTACGCATGAATATCCTGCTAATATAGGATGCTTCAAAAATGTATATTTAAATGTAATAGTTTTAAAACGTAAACACACTTTACATACCTAACGTAATCTCGCGTTGTAAAGATCGCATATCGCGATCTTTATTACGCGACATATTTGAGTAGCTTATCTACAGCGTTATACTAGAGTTACCTCTATTTATTTCTATAAATATTTAATAAAAATCTCAGATGGTGCATTTCGTAATAAGTCATAATAATGGAACATTGTAAGCACTTACATACAAATTATTTGAGTTGTAGTAAAGAAAATCTTCTGGTCTTTCACTCTGCAAAAGTTTACTTCTGCCGTGTAAAGATCTCTAAACGCTAAAACACATTATTATTCACATAAATTGTAANCCTATATATAATATATAAATAAGATACAAAGAACTAGGTCATACATTAACGTAATACTTACTCTACAATTGCTATGTTAATAATAAATTAAATTATAAACATTCAAATGAAATCATAATATACTTAGTTAATTATTTATAGAATATTGATATACACATAACTCTAGCATAACGCTGTATTTATACAACGAGAGTTCAGTATAACAGTTCATATGAGCTCATCTCTTCATTTTATTTTATTGAATGTTACTTTAGTTTCAACAACAAAGTTTGCTAATGTAGAGTATGCCTTTTCCTTTTATATGGTCAAAGATTTTTATTTTCCTGGCAATCTCGTTAGAAAGTTGCTAACAACAAATAGTATATGTAATTTTATACACAGGAACCATATAAACATGTAATTTTATACCTTTGGCATTTTGTGCACCAGCAACCTTTACGTAACGTAGATAAGCCCTATGCTTTCTGCAAACATCAAGCACTCCCGTGCTAAATGTTTGCAGAAAGCATAGGGTTTATCTACGTTACAAGCTGCTTATAATTTAGATTTTTTTCTTCACATGCATTGTGTAAATATAATTTAATTAAGTAGCAAGTGAGGACAATTTTGTTAAAGTCTTAAGTGCATATCAATCGTGTGTGATCAAAATTGTAATATATAAATTTAATTTTTACAATCGAAAAAATTGCTTCATTGTACATTTTTCAGATAAAATATTTTTATAGTAATGACTAGAAAACAAAAGGTAGAAAATCACACACACAAAAGAATTTATTTATTTAGAAGGAAAAGTCAACATCTTGAATTAAGATGTTGACATCACAATTACTTTATTTTCAAGACTCGTTGCAAAAACCTTGAATTTAAACGAATAATCAATTTTTTTAATCAAAAAAAAATGAACAAAATAAAATACAAAGCTTTTGTAATAGGTCATGCGGTGTTTTATTATAGAAATTGGAAAAGTCTGTAATAATCCAGATAGAAGATTACAACCAGAAAAATTCCGTAGGACAGAAATAAAAGAATTATCTCTTAAAATCTATACACACTTGAAAGAACTTAGACAAGCATCGTCTAAAGAACACAGTTACGCATGAATATCCTGCTAATATAGGATGCTTCAAAAATGTATATTTAAATGTAATAGTTTTAAAACGTAAACACACTTTACATATCTAACGTAATCTCGCGTTGTAAAGATCGCATATCGCGATCTTTATTACGCGACATATTTGAGTAGCTTATCTACAGCGTTATACTAGAGTTACCTCTATTTATTTCTATAAATATTTAATAAAAATCTCAGATGGTGCATTTCGTAATAAGTCATAATAATGGAACATTGTAAGCACTTACATACAAATTATTTGAGTTGTAGTAAAGAAAATCTTCTGGTCTTTCACTCTGCAAAAGTTTACTTCTGCCGTGTAAAGATCTCTAAACGCTAAAACACATTATTATTCACATAAATTGTAAAAATGATCAGATAATTGCGAATAATTTTTTTATTTGAAATGAAATAAGTGTGGTATTTTGCAGTTGTTAAATATTAATTACCATATCGTGTATAAATTTTAAAAACAATTCATACAAGACATTGGCAAAATACTGATTACCTGAAATACAGTAGAGCGTCGATTATCCGAATCAATTGGGAACTGGGTTTGTTCGGAAGACCGATATTTCGGATAACCGATTATGTACGAAAAAATATATTAATTTATCCCATCTTGACATTTTTCTTGTTGCGTGTCGCTTCGCGTTGAATTTTCGTCGATGTTAAGCCTAACGAAGACTATTGTATTGTTAAAAATTATTTTTTTATTTTGTACAAACAAAATAAACATATTGAAAAATATAAAAACAATAAAAAATTATACTCCAGAAGTTAGTTTAGTATCAAAAACGTAAAATATTTGAGTAGCCCAAGACATAGCCAAAGATTGCAGCGCCACAGCACTGGCGAAAATTTAAATTTGCCGACTGGAATTCTTTCGGATAATTGACGTTTCGGATGATTGACTTTCGGATAATCGACGCTCTACTGTATTAGCCTATGCCTACCACCATTTATTAAACAACTATATTTAAACAGATTACTTTAAACTAATATTATCACATTTACAGCACCATTGTATAAATTAAACAATATCAATACTCATCATACGCTGGTATGTTTGAAATTTCGAAATGTGAGTCGGCCTCAAGTTTCAAAAAGCTGCAGACTTACTGTATATTATTACTACTAGTTACAAACTACAGTAACAAACGTACAGTGAATTATTATTTTTCGATATTAATTAATGTCAACGTATATATTATATTAACGTATAACACAGGTAAGTTTCTAAAGTGTGTGTTAATGATGACATGAACGACAAATCATAATTATTTTAAGTTCTAGTTTTTCAAAACCGCAATTCAGCGTAATAATCAACACTTGGCATAACTCATTCATTTATTTCAGTTTTTGTTGAAAACTGAAATACAATGAAACAAAACCTGAAACAAAATTCAACAAAAACTGAAATAAATGAATAAGTTATGCCAAGTGTTGATTATTACGCTGAATTGCTGTTTTGAAAAACTAATATACAAGTAATAATAATAATAATAAAGATACAACACGGTTTCGAAATATGAAAGTATTTTAAGTATATTAACCCGTTCGCGTTTCAAGTTCCAATTTTAAATACTTTAATACAGCGCAAAGTTTTCTATTCACTACGAGCTACATCAGCACTCAGGTATCCTTTAGGATTTAGCCTGATTACACACCATCACTGCTTTCGCTACTAATAACAACTTGTTGCTCTTTCCTATTTGCTCGATTGGTAGTCTGCCTTCTGGCCCAAGGTTTTCAGAAGTCGGTACCACAATTTGAAACTGTATTTGTAAATTGATCCATAGGGTATTTTGGCAAAATAGTGGAGTAGATTGTCAGGTCTTTCTCCAGGTCTCTAAGTAATTTGTTACGTTAAAACAGTTTCAAACTCGAACCTTTTGAAATTACTCACACGATACAAAATTTGGTCGACTCATTCATGTTAGTCGAACCAATTTTAACCGCAAATTCTTATTTATGCCACTGACTCTAGATGCAATGCAAAATGCATCTGGAGTCAGTGACATAAATAAGAATTTTCTCTGAGAGTAGTCTGAAGATATGTAAAAAGCACATACAGGATGAAATATAAGTAACCGTACCATATAGTACCGTTTATTTATAAATAATTATTTATATTTGTATTACTTTATAAACTGTTTTACTTTAAATTTTATTTATAAATTGTGTGAAGGGTTCCAACAACAACATCACTCTCATAAGTATGCCACAAAGTCATGCTTATGAGAGTGATGTTGCCACAATGTAGTATGCCAGTGTGCTAAAGTGCTGATAAATATGCCACAATGGCATACTTATCAACACTTTGGTACAGTGGCATACTACTGTACCAAATACTGTACCAAATACTGACATCAATAAAATCTGGTAAAGGTTTATTGATAATGTACTGGAGTAATGTATGAACATAAAGTTGTTACATTCTTTGTCAATAACATTTACATTTACAACGTAATAAAAATTCTACACGTAATATAAATTAAAAGTAGATAGGTGACATCAAGAAATGCGAGACGATGTTTATCGATGTAGTTAGCATAGACGTGCAGTTTGAGTAGTAATATATCAGGAATGAAAGATTATAAGTAATTTATTTCTAAAAAAAAGAAACTATTGTGAGAATCTGGAAATTCAGGAGAAGGTCATTCAGAAAATTTACAAAGTAGAGAAGAAAAATTATAAAATTAAGAGAAAATAATATTTTTCTAATTTAACAAATTTTCCAAAAACGGAGATTTTGAAAGGAAGTTTATTTCCTTGTCCGGGCCGACTCATGATGAGTCGCATGAGTTTTTGCACACGTTACTGGAGAGCAAATAAAAGGGACATTTTCCCACCATTCGAGGCAGTCCGTTGGAAAAAAGTTGCCACACGAAGAAAGTCCGACATACTACAAAGGCAGTCCGAGGAAACGAGATATTGCCACACGAAGAGAGCTAGCCATAAGACAAAGGCAGTCTCTCGAAAAGAGGTTTGCTATACGAAGAAAGATACCGTCATACGAAAAGTATTGTCATACAAGGCTGTTATAAGAATCCGTAAGGAAGTCATAAAACTACATTTGAAGTATTACATTTGAAGTACTACATTTGAAGTACAGTGGTACCTCAGGTTACGAACGCCCCAGCATACGAAATTTTCAGGATACGACATGAAATTTGAACATATTTTTGCTCCACGATACGAACAAAAACTCACCATACGACGTTACATTAGTTCGCATTTTTCATTTGTTTTTCTTACTACAGTTATTTTTTT